ATATATAAACTTTTGAACCATATGCATTTTCCGACTCAGCTCGACGAGTATAGTCGAAATATAGCAAAATTTTTTAAAAGTTCCGTCATGAGGACCAATGCAATAGTTAGATTTCTACGAAATCTACTAAAAATGTCGTGAAAGGAAAAAATAAAGATTTCAATAGCTTTTTTGCCATTAAAAGTTGGAAAAAATTTTGGCTCTTATGTTTTTGAATAAAATTTTTATTTTATCTTTTTTTTTTATGTTTTTGATAGATTTTTTTTTTTTTAAATTACATAAAAAACGAACAATTTAAAAAAAAATTTGATCAAAAAAAAATTAACGTGGGCTAGCATGGGTTGACTCTACTTGTAAATAATTACCTAAAACTCTAATAAGTCTTAGTTATAAATTTAATTTTTCACTGTTGATAAAATATTGGTTGAAAAATAAATTTCGAACTTAGAATATTTTTATCTGACAAAACAATCTTTGGTATATTTATAAATATATATTTAGATTACTGAAACATTAAATAAATGGGTTGTACGTCCCTAAACTCTCTCAATTGCTCATAAATATTTATTGATCGATCAATATCAGTGCAATTGGACTGTGAATGTAAGTACATATATGTATAGACTGATGTATTGTGTAAGCAAATATGTAATATACAAAAGTAAGCAAGCTCATTCATCGTTTCTTGTCATCATCATTTAAATTTCATTTTATTTGTGTTTATGTTTATATAAATAATGTTATGAAAGATGTTGATGTTTTCTTCATTTAAAATTAACGAATTTGTTACTTAGTTGAGAATAAAATGCAATTAAAGACTCTCTCATTGATTATATTCTAATATATTTATTATATGATGATGGAATTAGACCAATGAGTGGATAACCGGTTAAGTAATCATTAATCATAATCACAAATTGATTATTTTCATTTTATCTAATTATATTTTAATTATGTAACTCTATTAGTATTTTAATAACACGGAAATTACAATAAAATTATTTGAAATAAAAAATCAAAATTGAATCATAACTATGTAATGCTAATTGCAAAAATGTCATTGACAATAAATCATTACATAATCGTGGAATTTATAAATAATACATTCCTTTTTCTTAAAATCCCAATACATAACAATAAAATTTATTATTAATATTTAAACATGGAAAGAGCAATTACGTAATGCTGAGAGAGAATCGAATTAAGCTAATAAAGTAAAATTCTATATCGATTTCGCAATAATAAATAATAAAAATGTAAAATAGATTAGTAAATAAATAGATAATAAGGATGTAAAGTTAATTTACAATTCAAATAAAGCGTAACTATAATAATAAATAAATAAAAAAAAAATATAAAGGCTGTTGTGATGAATTACAGTAGATAGATATCTTGACATAATTCTCGGCTAATTATAACATTGATTGAAATTACAAACATAAACCTACACTTAGTATTTAATTTTAAATTCTTGATTCTCAATCGGGATCGAGATTGGGATCTCAATCTCGATCTCGATATTATTATTTAACTGTTACAATAGATATCTAGGCTACTCATATTACTACCTTACTATCTTTACTAACGCGTATATATGTCCAGATAGTTAGTAATAAGAATAATAATAATAATCTATATTATTAAGAGAATAAGAAAAATTTTGTGGCCAGTGTATTTATATGATAAAATAGGTTTTTATGGTTAAATTTGGTATCATTAGAAAGGTCTTGACCTGGAGTTGTGCCTTTTCAAGGTTTCATATCGTTCTCACCAATAGTCAATTTATGATGATATGTACTTAGGCTGCATTCAAAAATGCTCTATCTCTAGATACATATTTAAGAAATTACCTTTTATCTAGTGAAATATTGACATTTTTAAAGATATAAGCCCATCCCGATGTTACACTCATCAAGACCTTTCATTTGAGTACCCGGATCAATTTTTCATATATTTATATATATTATATATATATGTATATATGAAAAATATATGAAAATGCATGTGGGTACTCAAATGAAAGCTCTTGATGAGTGTAACATCGGGATGAGCTTATATCTTTAAAAACGTCAATAGTTAAAAAAGTACACTGCAATTTCATACAAGTCATTATTTGATAAAGCAAAATTTTATTTATTTATAGTTCACAAGTCCCGGCAGTCATATAGTGACTGCAAGGTTGCTAATAACAATAATAATAATAATAATAATAATAATAATAATAATAATAATAATAATAATAATAAACGGAAAGAAGAATTGAGGAAGAGAATGTGTTATCTAACATCAGCGAGTTATATTAAACCAGAGTCCATCTCACATGCTTATTATATAGTTGTAGTTATAGTTATCACTCTTAAGAGTATTTAGAGTTTGTCTTTTTAAGTAGAGTCATCTCTTATCTAGCTCGAGTAATCCTTAATATTAAATATTCAAGAGAGTTATAATTTAATAATATTATAATATAATAACAGAGTATTTAGCGTTATAGTGGGGCATTTACCGATGGGTAAGTTGGTGAAGTTAGTGAAGACGGGTTATGCAACTGTTCTGCTGAGTAACGAGTAGTAAATATAGTAAATGCAGTAAATATGTATTAACGATTATATAGAGGGCAAACGAGCTCGTAATACCGCGGGATGATTCAAGTCATTCTTACGATATACTATATAATATAACTTTACTACGTTTATATATACTGTCCGGTTGCTCTTTACTACTGTACTTAACTATTTCTCTGTTTCTCTGTACGTGAAGGAGGAGGAGGAAGCGCTCCGCTATCTGAGCGGTAACGAGGGCGTTCACGAGGAGTCTTTACGCCGCGGGATGTCCGCAACCATTTACCGGGTTCCTACTGTTCCAATTTTTCTCAGACTGAAAAACATTTAAAACATTTTTTGCACTCATTACTTCCTATCCGTTTTCTTGTTTTCATACATTTTATACTACTCGGTTGCGCTTACGGTAGTACCGCATTTTATCTTTTTCTCAATGAATCAACTTGTTATTTTTAGATACTTATTGACTCAGGTTTATTATAACTTTGTTTATTTATTTATTTTTTTTTTTTTTAATTACAATGAACTCACCTTTTGCCAACAATAACAAGCTACACAATTATTGCTAATGTAAAAAAAATTATACCACTTTTATTTATTTAACAATTTAGACCCTGAAGCCAAAGCTCCCTAAGGGCCTTACAGTATATAATCTTAACATTTATGTTGATAATAATAATTAAATGAACTAATTAATAATGCAATAATGTAAGTATATGACGTGGACTCAAAGTAGATTAAAATTATAATAATATTATTATTTTTTCCGTGTAAAGAATAAAAAATACGTGAAGGAGTAAATGTGTGTAATTGTAAAAGTTCAGTACATGTCAACCCGTTAATCGGACATTGTCCATCTGAATCTAAATCTAGTGAATACTGCATCAACTCCACAATATCTACGCAATACAAATCTGTAGACAATATAAAGTATATATATCGTAATAGCTTGACTAAAGATTTGAACATATTGTTATGCAGTGTAGTCCCCAGTCTACACTATTGAGAATCGATTTGCGTGGGTGCATTTCCACTGATGGAAGTCTCCGTCTCTTTCTCCGTCTCCGAACGCCCACCAATCTATCCGCGAAACAGAATAATAGAATTTTAAAAATCTTGGGAATAAAATAAAGTATGCTAATAAATAATCTGAAAGATGACAATAAATATAAATAATTAAATAAATTAAATGCACCAATAAAAGAATTTATTAACTATTAATAATTTAATTTTTTTAATTTTAATAAATATTTTTTAACATTTAATAAATATTTTATTGAGTGAATTTTTTTCGCTTGCAATGTCATATAATATGAAGATTTTTATAAACAAAAATTATTTGTATTAATTATATTACATTATAATAACGTTTATTGTAAAATACCAAATTCTATCACAGCTCATAATTATCTTTTATATTTTTAAATATTAAAAACGTTAATTTATATTTAGTAAATTGAATTATTATCATGTATTGCAGCTACAGAGTTATAAAAAGTGTCAAAAGAAAATTGCTATTTTTGCTTGTTATTTTAAATACATATTTTTTAACAGTTAATAAATATTTGTTAGATATGTATTAAAATTTAATAAATCGTATTTAATAAATAATTTATTAATTATTAATAAATATTTATTAAATCTTATGATGTTAAAAAATCATTTATAACAGTTAATAAAGCTTATTAAATATAAAAAAATCCTTCTATCACTGTGTTTTTTTTTTTTTAATCAAGTTTTATGTCCAAAAAAAAAAAAAATAAGTGGACTTTTAATGCCAAAAATTGAAATTAAAAACTTGAAATGAATTCCGGTGGTAGTTTTGTTTAAAAATAAACTCCAAAAGGAATAACAAGTTTAAAGTTAAATGTTAAATGTTTAATGTCCATGGAGCATGTACGACTCATCCTCATTCTTTCTTACCATTTATCGCCGTGTTACACGCGATCTTTAATTCGAGTTGCATTTGGGATTGGAGATTGGGGGGGGGGGGGTTCCTACCGGTGAATAACGATCGCCGCGGGCCGGGAGGTAACATTAGCTATCTTACACTACACTCTATACCGAACTTGCGTCAATACGAAATACAAAATACAAAAATAAAGAATTCAAGTGAACAAGAATTTCTCGTCTAAAAAAAACCGATTACTCAAACATAAAAAAAAAAAATATTTTAAATTTAAATTAATTTACCTTTTATTTTGTTTCTTTAATGCATTGTCCGAGTATGGAGGCAAAAAAAAATAAAAGAGAGAACGGCTCGTGCAATTCGTGACGCCCACGAATGACCCGTCGAATAATGTATTGTTGGTAATTTGGAGCTGTGAACACACATACGTCCGTGTGGAACAAGAATGATTAAAGGAACACATAAAGGATTTTCATTACTCATTACTCTTTATTTTTATTTTTATTGTTTTTGGGTTTATAGAGGCTAAAAATATGCGGTATGATTTTGTGTTTCAGGAAAACGGATGTCTGTACTCGCACATAAGATGGGGAGAAGCTTTTGTCATTGTTTACAGCGTTACGTGCAAGCGCAGCTTTCAAGAAGCAAGGGGATTGCTCAAACAGCTCGCTGATCTCAGACTTCCTTCTTATTTTACTGCGCTTTTACTTGGAAATAAACGTGATCTCGATCATGCTCGGTAACTATTTTTTAAACAGTTTTTTTAATTGCATTTAAATTATTATAAAAAATAGATTTTATTCAAGAGAAATTATGTTAAATTTACTTAAATTAAAAATAATAATTAAATAATTTTTAGAAATTTTTTTTATTAAATAACGACGTTCTAATTAGCAAATTGTCTAAATTCATTTTAGAGAATCTTCTATTTGTACGAAAAAAAAAATTAGTTAAAAATTTATTATCACTTTAAAAAACCAATTAATATCATTAATATCTAATAAAGATATAATATTTAGGTTTAAATCATTCAAATAATTTATAATTAGATTATTGCTACATCAAAATGTTAAAAAATTACCCTCTAAAAAATAAGAAGTTAGACAAATTGCTAATTAGACCGTCGATAAGTAATGATAAATAAAAAATTCCTTTGTAGAAAATTAAAAAATTATAGATGCAATTTATTTTAAACAATTTTTTATAAATAATTTATTTTCAAAGTTAAATCTAAAAATCGTAAATTGATTCAAGAAATAAAATCTTAAACCAAAAATATCATTTTTGAGAATTTTATCGTCTTCATTAAAGTAGAAAAAGGTTTAAAAGTGGGGTCAACCATTTTAATTTTCATTTTTTTGAACGAAATTTCTATTTGATTTTATTGATATATTTTTTTTTTTTTTGAAAAATACATAAAAAAAAATGAACAATTAAAAAAAAAAATTGATTATCCCAATTTCAACAAATTTTCAAAAAAATGTATAAATTTTTTAGAAAATTGTGATATTCAACTTTTTTTTTTTTAATTGTTCATTTCTTATGAAAAAATTAAAAAAAAAAGATTAAATTCAAATAATATTTCTGACTATTTGCAGTAGCACAAACCTGTTAATTATTATTTACTTTCCGCCTCTAGTTGTTGAAATTGTTATTATAGTAATTAATTGATTGGCTATTGACCGAATAAAAAACTAAAATAATATAAATGAAGAAAACCCAAGTAACAAGATCTTTAGTTTCAGTTTCAATTTCAGTTTCGTGTTTATTTCCTGAACGATTTCGAAAACCAGGAGTTGTATTGCACGCGACATCTTTTAAAACTATTTTATAAATAATTCCCACCCTCGATTAATAAAATAACAGAGTAAATAATACGGGACAAGGAGAAGAACAGTTGGTTATTTTATTTGAAACAAAAAGTTTAGCAAATTTATAAAAAACATTAGACCGCACGATCAACAGATATCCAATCGAATGACACACCCTGTACCTGCACAACCGTGTATGTTCATGTTTAAAACCGGCAGTGGTCGATACTCGAGTAATTTCACCTAGAAACCATTCACGCGATCATATTTATTTTTATTACAATTTATTTAAACTTATCATAATGTTACTTTGCATCCACTATAATATAATATTTAATCCAACTCTCTTATATTATTTGAGGGCACTTGACGCAAGAAATCTGACGCCGAGTCATCGGGTTTAACACACCATTTAATTATTTTAATATTATCTTACACCTGTCAAAAATATTACATTTAATTATTAAATTAATTCTTTTTTTTAAATATAAAAAAAAATAGCTAAAAGTTTCTCGATGTAAATACAGATAAAGGCTTGTATTGCCATCACTACTGGCAGAATAAAATAAAAATATATCGAAACACAAAATGTTATTTATGAGTGCAATTAAATTCGCCGGAACAACTAACAACGTAGTGGATATTATTCGAAGACTTTGAAATTGCGTAGGAGGCCCCACATGTTATTTTCTCTTTGCCTCTTATTATATATATTTATATATATATATACCTACACTCATACCGGATCCACGAATTCTGTTAATCTTTTTCCCTTTTATTATCATTAACAAAGGGATGATTTTCTCTCTTTTAGTTTTTTTTATCTTTAAGTTATTATTACACTGTTTCTATGATATTTAATAAAATTTTATTGGTATTGATGACCCAGAGTCTATTAAAAGACACAGTTAATTAATTGTTGTTATCAATATGAACTGATAAAAAATTAACTTAATAGGAAAAAATATTCTTGAACCAAAAATATAATTTTTGATCACTAGATCAAATTAATAAATTTTTGAACTAAGAAATTGTTTAAGATTTTTTAGTAGATTTCATAGAAATTTAACTGCTGCATTTGTCCTCCATAAATCTAACTATTGCATTTGTCCTCCATAAATTACATATGGTTCAAAAGTTTATATATGTATGTATTAGGGTGTGCCAAAATTCAACTTCCGTGATGGACTTCTTAAAATTGAAATTTTGAGTTCCGCTTTTAACAGGAGTTGTGTTTGGGCATTTCTCAAGATATTTTGAGGGTAAGGGATTTATTTGATTTTCATAGAATTTTTTACAGGAGCTTTGTTTGGGCACTTTCGGCCAAATTTTGAAACTTCAACGGAAATCCCCAAACAAAGCTCCTGTTAAAAAATTCTCTGATAATCAAATAAATCCCTTACCCTGAAAATATCTCAGGAAATGCCCAAACACAACTCCTCGGCTGCCCAATTTCAAAACACAGTAACTGACAATTGTTTTTAATTTTTCTTATTAAAAAAAAATTTGTGCTCCAAATTGATAAAAAATTTGATTTATGAATAGAAAATACTTGAATATGAATATTTTTAACAAAAAATCCTTGAAATTAAGGTATAAAAGTCATAAAAAATGCAGCAATAAAAATAATCAGGTATAAAAATTTTGCAGTTACTGTATTTTAAAATTGAGCAGCCGTCCTGTTAAAAGCGGAACTCAAAATTCTAATTTTAAGAGGTCCATCACGGAAGTTGAATTTTGGCACACCCTAGTATGTATACATATACGATATAACGTGGCTTGTCCGGACGATAGCGTCTCTAATTCATAATGGATCTTCTCCAAATTCAACATACATAATTTTTAGACGAATACCAAGGTCAAGTTCAAAGATGAGCTTAATTGGTCACGTAGTTAAAAAATTACAAGGTTTAAAAATTTTCCAAATTCATATTTTGGCAGTTTCTTTCGCGGATAATTTTTTAATGAAATAACTTATCAAATTTTTTTAGACTGCATTTTAAAGCCCATTTAACGAATTTTAATTTTCATGTCATTTTATTCTCATAGACTAAAAATAGTCTATCTGTCGGGATATTTAATGAAATTTTACAATTGCATTAGTTTTAATTTAGAGAAAAGGGATTTCATCAATGTTATTGAAGTCTTTGTATTATTAGTGTTGTGATTTTATTTAAGTAGGAAATCTACTTCCATTTCATCTGTCGAATGACACTTTTTTTTTTTTTATTTTTTATTTAATTCAAGATCATCAAACTCATAAAAAAAATCAAGTTAATTTAAGAAAAAATTCTTCAACCAAAAATATAACTTTTATGAGTGAAGATAGTAAAGATTAGAGTAAATTTTATTGAAAATAAAAATGAAAAGATGTTAATTTTCGGAAAATGTTTGTTTTGCAGAGAAGTATGCGTGGATGAAGGCCAGCAGTTGTCATTAACACACGGCTGTCAATTTTACGAGGTCAGCGCGGCAGAAAGCGCAGCGGGAGCAGCATTAGCCTTTCAAGGACTCCTCAGGGAAGCTAGATCAGTCCAACTCCTCCGCGCATTACCGATAAGGCGTAAATTGGGTGTGCACTCAGTCTCACGGGTCTTGGGGACGATATTCGGAAAAAACACCACCAAGGACAGAAAAAAGAGACCCTCTCTCAGCATATGACGCCTCTTGTGCCTCCTCCTCCTCGGAGAAGATGAAAAACCTCTCGAGCCCGAGCTTACCACCGACGTTATCGTTCTCACTAGCACCGGCTATGTTAATCGCTGATATATTGTCAATAGCTCCATTCTACGAGGCTCTGTAAGGTTGTAAAAAGGTTATTCTGATACTTGGACTCGGTAGCAGAGTAATCGGAGGTCACATTTTTTTATTTTTTTTCTATTGGTGTTTTGAGTCAAGCCAAGACTACTGGGACCTGAATTTTAATTGCAACTTATTGTAATTTTTCATCGGAAATTTTTTTTACTAAAATAAATATTTAAAAGCTATTTATTTTTTAAAAAATTTAAAGTATAATTATTGTGATTATTATAAAGCGTCGTGACAATCCCGGGGTACTTTTTTCAATAAAAAAGTTTCAATAAAAATTCTTGCCTTGTATATATTGTATGCCGACTGGACATTTATACCCTTACAATATATATTTTATTTACTGTCATTTATAATATATCAGATCAGTCGGAATTATTATCACCGGTTAATGGAATAAAAGCTCACCGACTCAGTGACCTCGGTGTCTATTATTAAGTGTCAAAGTGTGTTTTTGTTGTCTGAGTAATCGTGTGTAGGTAGATACAGTGAAAATAAACTGATAAACTATTTTTAATAATATATATATATGGGTGATTCTCTGTAAGGATGTTTTTTGCTGTCCCGGGCATTTTTTTATTACAAAAATTGTTATTTTGTTACTAAAAAAAATTTATTACAAAAGTAAAAAAATATTTCTATTTGGAGCATTGAAAACTAAAATGAAATAAATTTTGGTTTTTTTGCTATAAATTCGTAAACCACCGAAATAACAATCCCCTGGACTGTCCCATTCCCAAAATTAAAACTTTAAGATTAAATTTTAAGTTATTAAATATATACAAATATCGAAAAAACAAAAATTAAATCCGCTGTTTATTTATTATGATCAAGCTGATAGTTTTGTAGCCCTTGTTAATTTTTTTTCTAATAAAATCAAAAATAATTTGGTCGGACAATTTTGTACAGATTTAAGACGTCCTTACAGAGAATCACCCATTATAATAAAACACGATTGGAATATTTGCGTGAAAGAAAGAATGAAAAATTACTAAGAGAGAAAGAGACTTTTATGTAAACTTGATTGTATTTTCTATTAATTATTAATATTATTATTATTATTATTATTATTATTATTATTATTATTATTATTTTAACTACTATTAATATCAAAATTATAATTATAATTATTTAAATTGTATAAATAATAAGAAAAAAAATTGTGATTTATTATACTGTACACTATATATCAAGTTTTCATCAAAGTCATGTGTTTTTAAATAATTATTTATAAAATAATAATTGTACTTTTAATATTAAGAATTTATAAATATATATTTGAACTTTTTTTTTTTTTTCTAAGAATGATTATTGTAAAATGAATGTGCTTTATTTTTTACGCGAAATAAGATAATAGAAATGTGTTGTAATTAATTTTGTAAATAGCCGATGAATAATTATTGTTAATACCTTCAAACAATGATGAAGCATGTTATGATTATTGATACATTCCAGTGGTAATGTGCGTGTGTATATGTTTGAGCAATCGAGTTCCTTGTTTGTCAAGGAAGAGGAAGATGTTGGTCGATTGTAATTAAGTGCTAGTCACTTCTCATAATTTGAAGAAATAAATTCTTTTTTTTGTTAAATTTTATCCTGTTTATTTTTATTCTAAAACAATTATAATAAAACCTCTCCTATTGAAAAAGTAAACAAACTTATTGAAGCTATCATTAAAAGTTTTATAATATTTATAATTGTAAATCGGGTCAGTGTCAAGCTCAGAGATAATGTTTATTGTTAAAGTCGTAGAGAAGATTGTCAGTTGTATTATATATCAAACAAATCGGTCATGTTGAAAATAGCTCAGTTACTTATTATTATTATTATTATTATTATTATTATTATTATTATTATTATATATGACTTATGACTAATTGACGTGAGTTAGAGAGTTCTTAAGTGATTTATATAGACTACTCGTGTATACATGTAATACATATGTAATGTCAACAAACGTCAAACTGTTGACATAAAAGAAGTCACCGTGCAGACGCGGTCTAAATAATTGCAATTCTACTGTGTAGTTTATATAATTTATAGTTTATAGTATAGTTATTTGGGCCAAGGCATTCCTTTTATTCATTTCATTTCATTAAACTATTTTATACAACATGTTTACATTTTTTATTTTTTTTTATATTTTAAACTCCAAAATTTGAGCAGCAGACCTTAAATAGAAAATAATTTATCGGAAAAAAAAAATTTTTAAATGATTGGGTCAAAGCTCTGATGATTTTTTTTTACTAAATCCTACCATTTATTATTTTCAAATGTCAGCAAGGTTTGAACTTCAATAAAACTATAAATATAAAGTAATAGTTGCACCTATCGTTACCCTCAGGGTTTACATATTCTTCTCATCATCTCTTCTAGTGTCTTATCCGAAGAATAAAATCAAGAAAGATTAACAGGCCAGCCAACCTTGTCGAATTGAATCGGCAAAGTTTAACCTTTTGAAGGTTCGACTTTTGCAGTAAATAAAATATTAATTTGAAAAGCGCGCCTTAATTTTAACCAATAATCGATTTTTTTTGTGATGAGTCGACTGACGAGCCATTTTGTCGGGACTTTTTAACGATATTGAGAAAAATAATTTTCATTAAAAAAAAAAAACTTTAAAAATCATGTCCATTTTTTATTTCTAATTTATGACATTGAAGTTAGCACTCACTCGACCATTTTTTAACAAACAAATTTCTTCCAAAAAATTATTAAAAAAAAATTGCATTTTCAATTTTTTAAAATTTCTTTGTCAATTTTTTTTTTTATAATGTTTTTTGCAATAATTTTTTTTTTTTTTTTTCTTAATTTGTTTAAAGTCGCATAAACTACTAAGGTCATAAGCAATTTTTAATAAATATTTTTTAGTTTCTAATTTAATAAATTGAAAAAAAATTAAAAAACGTCGGTTAACTTTAATATTATAAAAATTACAAGTGCAAATTATAAAAAAAAATATATCTTTTATGATGCTGAGTTAGCTGACAACTGTAAATTTTTTAAAATTTTTATAACAAATCAATTGCAATAAAAAAATTTATTGTGAAATTATTTTTTTTTTCAATTTCTACATGTCAAGTATTTTTTTTATTTTTTATAATTTATTTGTGACAAAAATTTTTAAATTATCAATTTAATTTTCGTTAATTTATGATACTAAAGTTAAATTAAATCTCTTTTAATTTTATTTAACAAACAAATTTGCAATTAAATATTGCATTTTTAATTTATTTAAATTTCTACATGTAAATTTTTTTGTCATAATTTACTAGTTGGAAGAATTATAAAATATCTACTAAGTTAATTATCATAAATAATTTTATTGTTGCAAAATTCTAGAAAACATTTCTAATGTCTGTCGACTTTAATATCATTTTTAAAATAATTGATTTGTGATAAATGATAAAGAAAAAAAAAATTTCAAATGTCTGGTAATTTGTGTAATTTATAAATAAAGTGAGTTTTATCGACGCAATAGGAATATAAGTTTTATCTGTTGGAGTTTAAAAAAGTTTTGTTAAAGAAACCTCCTAGTCGTAGTTGTCGTAGTAGGTTGTCGTGAAGGAAATGAACAGAGAACAGAGAGACCAGGAGACTGGAGACTGTAAACTGGGGAACTCACAGTTGGTAATACGACACCTCAACCTGTCTACGTGGAATGTCTATGTGCCCTGGCCTTTTATTTATTTTATTTCTCTGTTTTAGGTATTTATGTATTTTATGTATATAAGAAAGAGCTACGACACGACTCTTGGTACATATACATAGTTGACTTGCGTGTCCTGAGACACCTGGAAATCCTAAACTACATTTTTTTACCCGATTCATCCGTGCACGCACTCGCTCTTTATTTATTTTTTTTTTTTTTTATCAGAGTCTAAAAGTTTGAATTAAAAATCCACAGCTAATTAAACTTATTTATGGGACTCGATATTTTTATCAGTACAAAAATAATTTTAAAAATAAAATAGACACGGTACCGGTTGGTGGAACAAAAATAAACAAAAGGGAAAGATGGAGATCATTGGACTGCTGGTCTGTTGTTGGGGTAGCAGTCCATGGTCCCTCTCATACACTTTATTCACCGACTAGATATCTGCATGTCGAGGGTGGACTCCAGTGGATGCTCGTGACTTATCCAAGGTCGTAGGTCGTAGTTGTGCTGCACCTTGCACCTTAAGCATCTAGCAGGCTGGCCATCGAGAGATACGAGGCTGGACTCGAGACTGGGCAGCCTAACCGTGTCTGGCCTCGGGCGAGAGTTGAAATTTAATACATGCGCATAACTCCCTAACCGAGGTAAGCTTAACAAAACTCTCTTTACTATTTAATATATATATATATATATATACCAATCCTGCAATGTTATAATGTATATAAATATTTTTTTAAAATAGCAACCTCAGGAAGTCCTGAGAGAATTTATTTTTAGGATGTCATATGTATTAAATATACTTGAATTCAAAGACTTTGTTTATTATTTTTATATATATTTTATTTTTAATAAAATTTTTAAGTTGCAGTAAAAAGAAAAAATTTATTTTGAAAAAAAATTTGCAATGTTGGAATTTATTATGATAAGTATTTAGGCTATATTCGAAAATTCTCTATCTCTAGATACATAATTAAGAAATGACCTTGTATCTTGTGAACTATTGACATTTTTAAAGATATAAGCTCATCCCGATGTTACACTCATCAAGAGCTTTCATTTGAGTACCCACACGCATTTTGATATATTTTTTATATATTCATATATA